GATGTGAGACCTAGGTGCGTGGCAGCTTCGTTTTTGAGATAACATCATGCTATGGAGCCCAGATTAGCCTCACATTCATACGTTTCCTGCCTCAGCCTTGCTGAGCTGGACTTTTTTTTTTTTTGTCAGTCATGGGGCTTGAACTCTGTGCCTGGGCGCTGTCCTTGCAAGCCTGTTTGTGCTCAAGGCTTTCACTCTACCACTTGAGCCACAGCACCACTTTCAGGTTTTAAGTGCATAATTGGAGATGAGTCTCATGGGGACTTTTTCTGCCTGGGCTGGCTTTGAACTGCAATCCTCAGATCTCAGCATCCCAAATAGAATTACAGGAGAGAGTCACTGGCACCCAGCTTCCCTGAGCTTTTTTGCCCAAGGCTAGTCTTCTAAAACTTTGAGCTTCAATGCCACTTGTAGAATTCTGGTGATTAATTGGTGATAAGAGTCTCATGGACTTTCCTGTCTGGGCTGGCTTTGAACCATGATCCTCAAATCTCAGCCTCCTGAGTAGCTAGGATTACAGCTGGACTTTTGAGTCATTCTCTCCCTCCTCTTCTGCACTTGCCATGGCTTGGGCCTGGATACTCTCAACCTGACAGTCAACAACCCCTCCTCCACTTCTTCCAGGCAATTACAGCACAGTAGATGAGCTTCAAGTTTAGACGCCACAGTGAGGACGAGGAATGTGGCTTAGTGGTAGAGTGCTTGCCTAGCATGCATGAAGCCCTGGGTTTGATTCCACAGTATCACATAAACAGAAAAGTGATAGAGCACTAGCCTTTAGCAAAAAAGCTCAGAGACAGTACCTAGACCCTGAGTTCAAGCCCAATGACTGATGGGGAAAAATGACTAAAAAAATTGTATCAAATCTTACCAAACTAGAACAGCCATTCATACTGACAAAATTTAGTTGCAAGTGACTTTTTTGTTTACCTGAAGACATTAATAAAAAAAAAAAAAAGAAAGGTCCTTCATTGGCAGGATCCAATGCTATCTGTCAAATTGGGCCAAGAGCTTGTAAGACATAGACTGCTCAAGTAGCCTAGGACAGGTTATTTTTTTGCTCGGTGCTTAGTTTTCTCATCTGGAACTTAGGGAAGATAAAGGCACCTACTTTGTAGGTCTTGGCCAGTGAGCATTCAGTCATTCTTGGCTACAAAATGATCACGATCATTATCATTAAGGATATCTTAAGAACCAGAGTAGGGGCTGGAAGATGGCTCAGTGGTAGAGTGCTAGCCTTGAGCTGAAGAGCTAAGGGACAGCATTCAGGCCCACAGTTCAGGTCCCCAACTGAAAAAAAGAAGAGGAGCACAGAAAAATAGGGAAGGGGTTACTCTCCTCCTCTTTGAAGGTGATAGGGGTCTCTTCCTCGCTTGCTTCTCTCTGTTGTTCTATTCAGACTTCTTTCCTCTCTTCTAGCTGGATCTCAGGGCAGAATATTTAAGTAGCCAATGCCCGTTAACTAGGAGAGTTGATGTTCTTCCTTCCTTCCCTGCTTCCTTCCCTTCCTTGCTTTCTATCTCTCTTTCCCTCTCTCCCTCTCACTTTCACCTCCCTCTCCCTTCCTTTCTTCCTTTTTCTTTTTTCTTTTCTTCCTTCCTTTCTCTTTCTTCTCTTTTCTTTCTCCCTTTCCTCCTCTTTCTTTCCTCCTGCTCTCCCTATACCTCTTCCTTTTCTTCCTTTTCTCCTTCCTTCCTCTTTCTTTCTTTCCTTTTCTCTTTTTTTCTTTCTTTTTTGCCGGTCGTGGGGCTTGAACTCTGGGCCTGGAAGCTGTCAATCAGCTCTTCAGCTCAAGATGAGCGCTCTACCACTTGAGCCACAGCACCACTTCCAGTTTTTCTGATGGTTAATTGGAGATGAGTCTTATGGACATTACTGCCCAGGCTGGCTTTGAACTGAGATTCTCAGATCTCAGCCTCCTGAGTAGTTAGAATTACAGGTGTAAGACACCAGTGCCTGGCTTCATTTTTCTTTTTCTTTCTTTCTTTCACTTTCTTTTCCCCCTTCCTTCCTTTTTTCCTTCCCTCCCTATCTCTTTTCCTTTTCCTTCTCTCCCACCTCCCTTTTTCTTTCTCCCTTCCTTTCTTTCCTTTTTCCTTCCCTTTCTTCCTTCCTATCTCTCCCTTCTCCCTCCTCACTTTTTTTCTCCCTCTTTCCTTTCCCTCCCTCCCTCTCCCCATACCTCTTTTCTTCCTTTTTTCCTTCCTTCCTTTCCTTCGTTTTTCTTTCATTTTTATCTTTTGCTTTCCTTCCCTTCCTTCTTCTCTTTCCCTCTCTCCTACCTCCCTTTCTTTTTCTTTCTCCCTTCCTTCCTTTCTTTCCTTTCGCCTTTGTTTCTTCCTTTCTTTCTATTTCACCTTTCCTTCTCCCCTCTCCTTCCTTCTATTCCTTCCTTTCTTCCTCTTTCCTTCCTTTCTTTCATTTCCCTCCCTCCATCTCTCCCCCATACTTTTTTTCCTTCCTTTTCTTTATTTACTCTTTCCCTTCCTTCCTTCCTTTCCTTCCTTCCTTCCTTCCTTCCTTCCTCCCTCCCTTCCTCCCTCCTTTCCCCCCC